AATACAGTGGGAAAATAATATTTTTGGTGCATTTCCATTGATTATTACAGAACATTAAATACTTTTATTTCAAATAATTAATATATTTAAATACCTAAACAATACTAAATTGTAATAAAGCAACACTTTTAATGAAATAATTTATAAATACTTTTTAAAATTTAAGTTTTAAAAATTTGTTTGTATAAAGTTATGATAAAATTGTATAAAACTTACATTTGATCAATAATAGAGTATTCATCTAAATATTAGGTTTTTATTAAAACACAATCTAATAGTATTCAAAATATTCAAAAAAAGCTATTACTAAATATATTTTCTATAAAAGCGGAAAAATAAACTTAAATTATGAACAAAGACTTAATTTTTTAGATTTTTAAATTAAGAAACATTAAAAAATTAAATAGAATGTAATGATTTAAAACTAATTAAAAAAATTAAAACAAAAAATGTAAAATTATACCAAATCATTAGTTTAGTTATTTTAAATTTTATGATACATCTCGATTTGGGTATATATTAAAAAACATAATAAACGTATAGAAATGTTGGATAATTTTTATTTTAATTATTGTATAAATTGTATTTAATTTACTTAGTTATGCTATGAGAAATTGTAATCATTTTAAAACATTTATCAACAAATTGTAAATTTATTGCAAATACAACTTTGTTATTTATTTATTTCATTATTTGTTAAATAAATAATAATAATTATTAGTATTATTATTATAAATTACTAATCAAATTCAAAAATCAAAGCAATAATATTATATATTTATAGTATATAATCAAAATTTAGACTTTATTTCTAAAAAATATACTATAAATAAATATATGAACATACAGTAGTTTATATTGCATTACAAATACATGATAAACCAATTTATATTAATGTATAAAAAAATAATCAACAATCAGTAATACTTATTTAGTATTTGATTATCTAATTTTGATTATCTTAAATAAGTTTTTATATAATATATAGATTTTAAGTATTGTATTTATAAATAAATTTAATTTGATGTATGAAAAATAATATACATAGAATTTTTATAAATATTATTTTATAAAGTGATTTATTACATGGTTATAAAATATTAATAATATTGCTTTATTTATTAATTTATGGCAAATAAATTATTATAACTTTTTATTTAGTTATAAATTAGCTTAAAATTATGTTCAAAAACATAATAATGAAGTTATATAATTTAATAAATCACTTAATATTTTTGTATTACTAAATATTTTTAATTCAATATATTTCTATATTTTCAAATACCAAATCAAAATGCTCATAAATTTCCAATAATTTGAGAAAATAAATCTAATTAAATATTTATATTTTTATTAGAATTTTATAAGTATAAAATATTTCAAATTAAAGTATTACTTAAAAATTTTACATTAACTTAACATAACGCTAATAATATAAAACGCTAATAATATTAATAATTTTATTATTAAAAATGACTTACATTAACTTAAAAGCATTAATAATATTACTGTATGTTATTTAAACTTAATGTAGAATTGTTTTATATTATAGTATAATATTAGAGATGAATAAATAAAAAAATTCTAATAAATATTTTGAAAAATATGTTTCTTTATTATTATATAATAGTATTTTTGTATATATATATATATATATATATAAAAAATTAATAAATTTATAAAATAATCGACAAAATGTATTAATTTATTTAATAATTATATTGTATTACAAGATACCAAATACTAAGAAAAAAATTAAAATGGAAATTCCATTGAGGGAACTTTCTTTTAGAAACTTTCTATAAAATTTCATTTTTCAATTGTATATAATTTTATAAAATAAATTGAAAAATATAACAATTATCAATAAATTGTAGTATAAATTTTTATTAAAACAATGTAAACTATGTTATACTATATTATTTTATGTATTAACGGATTTATTTCTAAACAAACGTAATATTTGTTTTATTTATTTATAAATTCAATATTTAATAACTTTTGTGTCTACAGATCAGCGGATATAAATCGATATAAAACAAATTGTAGACTTTGTGTGAATTTATTTTTTATTTTAAATCTTTATTTTGTTGAGTTTATCTAATAATATCAATACTTTATAGCAACCATTCAATGATTAAACTAAACAATCAAATAGGAATTTAGGGCACCTTTTGGATCAAATAATATTAGATACAAATGAAAGGACAGACAAACAGATACTAACAAAAATAGAAAGAAAGAGAGAGAGAGAGAGAGAGAGAGAGAGAGACTGAAAGAGAGACTGAAAGAAAGTCGGCTAAAATATATGAAAGTAAAGTGAGAGACAACGGTATTTAAATGTAATGCCAAATAAGCCATAGTATTGACTAAAACATAAAAATAGTTTAACTAAATGCTGCAAATAAAGTCAATTAAGTTTGTGTTTTGTTTGTTGTAAACCATTAATTTGGTTTTCATTAAAACTTTATTGTATCCCACTGTCACACTAATTGTATTTTATACTGAAATGTGTCATATTTTGTCATTTATTTTACATAATTTTATATTAACCGCTACAACATAATTGTTACATAAAAATACATAATTGTAATTTATTAATATATATTTATACTTAATAAGTATATACAGTATATACTGTACATACAGTAATGGGAATTGAGTCTTAGATATCTTTAAAAAAGGTTATTAATCAAATTTAATAATTAAATTTATAATAAGTTTGTCACGTTTTGTAAATTACAAAATTGCAATACTATCATAATTTATTAAAAATTTTGTTTTATTTTGTTTACAAATATAAAGTTATGTTAAGAGTAATGATTTAATGGATGTGAACAATATTTTTTTAATGAAAATCAATAAATTTTGTGTTTGAAAACCAATAAATTAGACTCAGGGTTTGTTTATAAGTTAGTAAACCAATAATCTATACTACAATCTTATTACAAAAATAACAATATTTGAAATGTCAACAAAAATTATTAGTTGTCAAAAATAATATTAGTTTAATATTAACTTGAAGTCAATATGTAGTATATACCAAAAATAATAGGCAAATTAACAATGTCAATGTGTTTATCATAACAGTAAAAAATGTTTAAATGCAAATAATCTTTTTATATTCAATAAAAACAYTGTATGAGACATATGTTTAATATTACTGTACAATGTATTGTATTTTTATGGGAAATCCTGAGATGTTTTGCTTCAATAGATTGATTGAATATTTGTATTAAATTCGTCTCTATATGTGTTATGTGTGTATAAAAGTAAGAATTTCAAAATAATTTTATTTTAAGAATTTATGGAAGAAATCGATAGTATTTTATTTGATTCACAAAAATATATAAAAATTGAAATAAAATCGAAAAGAATAATAAATTGTTATATTTATAAAAACTAAATAATACAATAAAAACACTTTATTATAGAAAACTATTACTTTTGTATATGTATTCATTCGATATTTAATTTGTGTCTATATTTTTGTATAGTTTATTCAAAATGATTTATACAATATGTCATATGCATAATATTTATGTTAAGTAAAATAATTCCTAAAGATATTTAACAATTTCCAAGTAAGTTTCTCTATAAAAATTTCATTATATTCTATTTTAAATACAATATTTTTAAATAATAAATTTAATAAAAATAATAAATATATTGTACTATTTTATAATTATTCTAAAATAATACAAGAATTAAAGAATTTAATTTAATAATATACTTAAAATAAATTGCATTAACAAATTTATATAAAATCTGTTTCAAAAATGCTTTACACGGTTTTATGCCAATAACTATTAAAGTTATATCGGATGCCATAGCATTATCACATTTTTATATTGCAGTTCATGTATGTGAGGACTAGAGATGGGTAAATAGAAAGGTTCTAATAAATTTCCGTGAGAAAGTTTCTAGAAACTTTCTCATGAATAAATTTCTATAGAAATTTAACTTTACTGTTATTCTATGGGATCCCCATATCTATAGTTATTGTAATACCAGTATTTTAATAACATATAATACTATACATATAATATCATACAGTATAGTACAGTACTATAGAAAATGGGATACCTATATATAAAATAATTATAATTATTTAATAATAATCAGTTTTGTAAAATTTTATTCATTTTATTATATAAATCATAGTTTAATTAATTAATTTTTTTATTTTAATTAATAATTAAAATAATAATAATATTTAATGTATTCTTATATGATAGCAAATATCGAGATAACAAAATTAACCATGGGGATCCCATAGATAGAAATTTCTTTTAGAAACTTTCTAGAAATTTCTCTATTATTTTATAAATTTCTCCTTTTTGCCAACACTAGTGAGGACAGGGATGTTCTATATCTCAAAAAATATAAGAGATATTGAAATTCTATAAAAAGCATAATATATTATTAATAGATACAAAATCATTAGATACGTATTTTGAGAATTTTCTCAAAAATGTGTAGCATTTGAATAAAAAATTGATAAATATAAAAATTGTAATATTTCAATATGGCGTAGATTAAAAGTATCTTGGTATATTGTTATGCAATTTATTAAATTGTATATATTTTTTAAGTATTAAATATTATGTTTAGTTATTAAGATATTTAACATTTAATGTTATACAGAAACAATTAATTCAAATGCATTACATAAATCAAAACATTTTTAATCTCAAATATAATATATTAAGTCTTTAACATAAGTATTAAACATTTTAAAATTATATGTTAAAATATATTTTGCTAATAATTTATAATAAATATATATTATAATAAGCTCTAAATTATTTATTTGTTAGTATTACTGGAAAATAAATATTTATAAACTGATTTCAACTAAAATTTCTAGGATTTTTTACTTACTCTAAAAATAGTAAAACGTTTTTATGATAATGAAAAACCATATATATTATAGTTTATACCAAATGTACTAAGATTTGTCTATTTGTCATTATATTGATGGACAGGTATGTGGCGATTGTATATCCATTAAAGCCAAGAATGTCTAAGAAGAAGGCCCTATCAATCATAATAATTATTTGGTTTTGCGGATCAATCTTCTCTTTTCCAACACTTCTCTACTCGAAGACACTGTCCTATCGTTACGCTAAAGAAGAGGTGCGGACACTATGTATAATGATATGGCCGGACGGCTCGGCCGGCAATTCAGAATCTGATAACATGTCTGTCCTCTCATTTGTCAATTTGATAACATTTTTTATCAAATAGTATTTTATCGGCATTTTTAGATATAATATACTGTTTCTACTGCTCACATATGTCGTGCCAATTATATCAATGGTTTTTACATATTCTCTGATTGCACGAGTCTTATGGGGTAATAAAGGAATCGGTGAATCAACTGAATACCAGAAAGAGTCGATTAGATCTAAGAGGAAGATTGTGAGGATGCTTATGGTAGTCGTCGCCATATTTGCCATTTGCTGGTCAGTCAGTCTTATAATATCTAATTTTATAGCAAATAAAATACTGTACTTTTTATTATTTATAAAATCTATTCATAAGATTGTTGAGAAAATAATTGCAAACATTGTAAAAATGAACTGATTTATGCTATACTCATATTGACTAACATTCATATGAAATGTATGATTGCATTATAGGTTGCCGTATCATTTATATTTCCTATTGACGTACAAATTCCCGGAAGTGGTCCACTTTCCCTTTATTCAACACATCTATTTGGGTATATACTGGTTGGCAATGTCAAATTCAATGGTATTATTCAACATTTGCAATGTATTTAAAAAAATCAATTAATAATAATTTATTTTACACATCCACACAAATCATAGTATAATTGGATGATATACTGTTGGATGAATAAAAGGTATTTTATTTTATAAATGACATTTAGATATCTAAGTTGTGTTGACTATTGAAAAATGTTTTGATTTATAAATATTATCAACTGGTTATACATAAGTTTATATATAACTTACTTATTATAAAACAGTTTTAGAAATAAAGATTCATAAAAAAAGATTTTACATTTTATTCTATTACTATTATTGCTATTAAATAAAATAAATAAAAAATGTCAAAATTATTTGTGCATAAATTTGAAATAAATTTAACATAATATAAAATGAAATTAAAAAAATATGTGGTATCCTTAAAAAATTAATTAAATAAACTAAAAGAAAGTTGTAATGCGTTTAGTAATATACAGAAAGATTATATATGTATTTATTAAATAAATTTTTATATAAGCATTCATTTAAATATTATTTTTTAAAATATATAAATTTTCAATTTTATAATCTATGCCTTTAAGTCTTAGCTCATGTTAATATAATAGAAGATCCATTAAAAAAATATTATTTTTGCATAATTTTAAACTAATAAAAAATATATTGAAAATTGTTTGATACAACTATTGATTATAGGTTTTACTAAACTATTATTTGTCGCATTATTTAATTGATTATATAATACTATTATCACGTGATTGGTTTAATTAATAACTATTTTATTACTCAAAACTTATTTCGTTATCAATTTTTTTATGTATAATATATGTTTGGTTTGTCTGTGTTAGTTAATTTAGATTAAATAATTTAAAGTGAGTGTAAATTTAATATTTAAAAATTAAAAATTAATAAATAGTTTATTTAATAAAAAAATCATTTTTAATACACAAACGAGTTATACAAATTGTATAATAAATAGAGCATTTATTTCACATATAACTTATATTTTTAGTGATTAAAGATATTAATAAAATAATTAGATATATAAACAATTGATTGAAAACTAATAATTATAGCAAAAGTTTTAGTCACATAAACACATATAACAACATATTTTGAAAGGTAGTCACATATTATCAAATATTATCACATATTTCGCATATAACTGTAAAATAATAGTTGAATTACATTTTTCTTATGTATTTCTGTATGTATTATTTGTTCAATTTTTTAAAAATAGTATTTTTTTATCAATGCAACTTTATTTGTTAATTTTTGTAAACAAATAAAAAAAATAATGAAATGTTTTCTGTTATTTTCTAGTGTCTACTAAAAGACAAAAAAGTTATTAAATTTATACAAACATTTTAAAAGCTAAATATTTTTAATTTATGCGTTTTTTAAGTTTAAATAATAAAAATATAAAATATTACTTTATCATTAATTTAACACAAAATTACATAATTAATATATAATTTATTAATAAATTTATTAATCTATATAATCACAAATTTTGACTTTTCAATCAATTATAAGCACATTTTTTACTATTTTAAGCAAATATAATCACATATTTTCATATTTTTAAGCAAATATTTCATTGAATAAAAACCGAATTTTAGTCACATATATCTAAAGTTACTAATAATAAACTTGATTTAATTCATTCATAATTAAATTGACAAATTGTTCATGATATTTTAACATTGTAAAGTAATAATAATTGAAATGTAACTATTAAAATTACTATACGGTGCTAAAGCATCGGGAACAATTTGTTAAATTTACTTTATTTTTTTAATTAATTAGTAAATTTTATTTATATGTTGATAAATTTTGACGTATATTTTTTCATGTGCATGTAATTTATTTGTGTATGATGAAATTGCATTTTATAGCATTTAAAATACTGTAAAATAAGTTCAATACTTTATTAAATACATGTATTACATACAATCATAGATGTGATATAATAATATCAATTCAATATAGTCTAAAAAATAACAATATATAAATAAATTTATATAAGAAATGTAATTAAAAAAATATTAATATTAAATAGCATCATCTTTAAAAAATATTATTTTTCTGTAATATATATTCTGTATTATTGTAATTTAAGACTAATAAAATAAATTACATTAAATAATGTAATAATTACACAGTAATAACATTAATAATAAATATAATAATTATGATATTAACACCGGTATTATTCAAATTTTAGGACAATTAGTAATTAGTAATATTAAAGCATTGCTTAAAAAAATATAATAAATTTACATTCAGTGCATTTTAATATTTTAGCACTTTATTTTATAACATCTAAATTGCCTAAATTACTTCAAATACATTGTATTATACAATATATACAACATATTACTGTATATTACATTTAACATTGATAATAAAACAAGCTTATTTTGCCACATATTATAATCTCTTTATCAATAATGTATATTCAATTGAGATAATTAAAGGAGACATAACATTAGAGGTGTAATAATTTTATTTATATTATTATTGAAACAAAATCCTAATTAATGAAATAAAATGCTCTACAAATAAATTATAAACATTATAAAAACTAGTAGTTATTTTTTGATAAAAGTTAATCTATCACTGTCATAGTAAGCTTGTTATATCAATATATATATATATATATATATATATATATATATATATCAACGTATAATATTTTGACATTTTACAAGACTTATAAGTATATTTTAACTTATTAACAGAGAGGGATATGATATATGATATCAAACTTATAAGTTATAACATTATGATATATGATATCAAACGATAATATTGAAAAATTATAATATTAAAATTATGTTTTTTAAACTATCAGTTTTAAAATAAAATTCAAAAAAATTGAAAATAATTTCCTAATTTGTAGATTTTTAAATATTAGTAATCATGAAAAAATATAAACTATGTTTTAATGATAAAACTTTTTTATTATTTTGTGTGCTTTTGATTAAAAAATACCAAATTTTAAATTATTTTTTTAATGATATTTAATTAAAAGGTTTCGTAATTACTTCAAACAATACCTGTTTTGTTGTTTTGCGAAGAAAGAGTTGAATCAATTTTCATCGCTTCAGAGGAATGGTTTCTATACTAACAATACTCGGAGTCCAACCACAAGATATGATTTAATGCAAATGTCCGGCAATTATAACGGAAACAACAGTAACGTCACTACAATACTAATGAAAAGAAGTTCACTATCAATGAGTGCCAGAGAAACCCGAACATAGCTTACGATAAAATGCATTCAATGTTATAATTCATTCATTCATTTATAATATCAATTTCACACTACAATATATACATTGAATGTACTATTATTGTATGTATAGTAATATGTGATGTACAATATATATCATTTTACGGTATATATCAATATAAACCATTAATTACTTTAACCGTATTATTGATACATCAAGTTATAAGTTATATATTATACAGTATAAGATCTAGTATTTGTTAAATAATTATTTATTTATTTTAATTATGTTTATTTATTTTTATACACAATTAAATGTATAAAATTTATGTATAATATAATTTAGATTAGTATCTATTTGTTAATTAAAATCACAATTAATATTTAATTTAAATTGTCTCTCAATTATGTTATTAAAATGTGTAAATTTATAATTGTTTAAACAAGAATATTTTATAAAATTAAAATCTATTTTTAAAAACATAAAAATTATTTATATTATTCAGTTATAAATTAAGTTAAAATACTATTTTGAAAATAGCAATAGATTTAAGTAATGTATTAGTATTATAATAAACAAAAACAGTAACACTTTTATTATCATATTATAAACTTTTGTAAAAATTATCAAAATCTTGAACTCACTAAATAAATACAGTATGTACACGGATAATATTTATGTATATTACATATGTTTTTTGTGTAACTATATCTCTATTAAATAATTATATAATTACATAAATGATGTCGCAATATCTTTTATAATTACCAAATGTAGCACAAAAAAACATAAGTAACATAAATAAAAAAGTACCGAGTTTGTTCTGAAAATGTTTGGTGTATAATATTTACTAAAAATAACTTTAAATATATTATATGCATAGTATGAGTATTTATTACATTACTAATCAAATATAATTTTTATTAAAACACAACATATCATGTTTTAAGTTTCTTATATAAAAATGACATAATTTCATAAGTAAAATGTTGTATATTTCATATTTATACAAAATATTATTTTAATATTCATTGCAAATAATAAATAAATAATAAATARATAAATAATTAATTTTTGTAACTAAATTATGGAAATCTAAGTAAATAATTATTGATCTCGATATTGGATAATAGATTAATATTAATTATGGGTTTAAATCACATAATTTGGTTATTCTGATACTTTATAAATATAAATAAATATAAATAAGTATTTAAATTGTTAATAACTATATTACTTATTTAATAACAATTTATTATAATTATTAATAGTTTGTAATATGAAATTATATAAAATATACAATATTTACTGAATAACAAAAAATACTTTTGTAAGTTTTCGTTTATTAATAGAAATACTTTATCAATGTTTCTATTGTTAATTTTTTATTATCTCAATTTTTGTTTAGTTATTTTTTAATTTTTTAAATATTAAAGATGCCAAAAGTTACTGAACCGGTTATATTATAATTAAAACGATATAAATCTCATATGTTTTTTACTATACTATACTACCAGTATTGTTCATGTTTGGTAAACTGTAACAAAATTTTAAATATTATGTAATAMAAAATAAATTTTTAAATAACTATTTATATTGTTTTTATTTACTGATAGTCACTAATGATACTCATTTATAGCACCTTTATGTAGATTTTCTTGTTTTATTTATAATTTCTTCAAAATATTTTACAATATAATTATTATTATTTATATTAAATATTAATATATTAAGTAATCTCAACAAATAATCTTAATGTTTATAAAATTATATAATTTAAACTTTACTTGATTAAAAATATCATATTAATAAGTTAAATATCAAATTAATTAAAGTTTTGATTTAATTAAATTTAAAATTTCATATTATCAATTAATATCAATTAATCAGCTATTTTATATAAAAATTATTTAAAAACATATCTATTTATTTTTTGACATAATTTATTACTAATTTTATACTGTAGTTATCTTTTTTAAAAAATAAATATTTTTAATAAATTGAATGTAAAATGTGAAAAATAACGTCAATAGATGGCAATGACATTACACTACAGTATTATAAAAAGTATATTTAAATACTTTAAAATTATTATAAACTATATACTTAAATAACATTAAATTATTTTTAAAAAATATTTATATGAGTAAAATAATTATTTATTAATTAAATTTATTAATTTATAATTATTAAATAAATGAAACAAGCATGTTTAAATTACTTATTAATTGTTTTATGTTGTAAATTGATAATAATACTTAGTACTTATTAGTAGAGTTAAGATTTATCCTTAAATATTTTTTGAATTTTCAATAAAGATATTATTTTCTTTTAAAAATCATCTATTTTTTAATTTATCTCATTAATAATGGTGTGTATGTAATGTATACTTTTGCTGTACATAATTTATAAGATATATTTGTGTTTGTGTTTGTGTTATATGTAAAAATATTTAATAAATTAAATTCATTACAAATAAATGTTTACTAAACTAGATATTTGAAGTATTGTATGATTATATTGTTTACATGATCTGACAATTTAGACAATTGATGGTCATTTGAAGTGACATCAAATACAAGAACTAGAAATAAAATTTTAAAGCAAAACATAAGCGCAAAATCATGCCTTAATTTGTTCAATATATTTAAGGTGTGTATGAATCGGTCGGTTCGCGCATGAAATCGATGACAAAATATCGATAAACTTAATATCAAAAAAAATTTCAATTTAAAGATCTGTTTGCTATTCTATCGTAATCTTTCCGGTGATTCAACACTTTATATTTGCATATCTCATATCTTATATTTTATTTTTTGTCTTTTAAGTAAAAATAAATTATTAAATAATTTTTATTAAATGTCTATTTAAGTTATTTGATGTTATAATAATAAAAAAAGTTTGTGTCAAGTAATCGACTATATTGTAAAATAAGGTATAATAAAATAGAAAATAAAACTTTAATGATGTTAATAATGATAAATTGGTGATATGATTGTTGCTGATAAATTGATGATATAAAATACATTACAGTAATACAATTGCTATAAGATTGCAAAACAGATAACAATTTAATTCATGTTTATAATAAATTATTTGAAAATGAATTGACCGCTTCATTGGACTCATACACAACTGTCCAGTGAAAGCATCAATTTTGTTGTTGTTGTTGCAGTAGTTGTTAGCCGACAACTTAAGCCATACCTATAAGTGATGGATTCCTTTAGAGAATCAATCAATAAAACAGACACCGAAATCAATGATAGCACCTTCCAGTTTGAACAGGGATGGCAAATGCAACTGATCTGGTCATTTATTTTTGGTTCAATGATACTAATATCCATTTTGGGAAATGTTATAATTATATCTATAATAGCATCGCATCATTCAATGAGAACTGTTACCAATTATTTTTTTCTTAACCTAACAATTGCTGATCTTTTGAGCGCTACATTGAATGCAACATTTAATTATATATTTATGTTGAGCGGTGACTGGCCTTTTGGACATATCTATTGTGTTGTCAACAATTTTATGGCCAATTTATTAGTTGCCGTTTCTGTTTTCACCATTACTGCTATCAGTGTCGATAGGTTAGTAAATTAATAATATTTTATTAAATATAATAACTAATTAATTTTTACAATCAATTTAAAAATGAAATATTTTGTAATTTAGTTAATTACATAAATTGAAAAAATAATTTAATTTGAGTTATGAGAACTATAAATAGGAATAAAAATTAAATGTTTGAAAAACTGTTGATTTGCTTTTTCTAAATGTTTAAGAGTATTGTATATGTTTTATATAAGATAACATATTATTTATATGACATATACACTCATAAAACATTTATCTACAGTATATAAAAAAGTATATTTTAATAATTTTATAAATAATATATTGTAAGTATTGTAGACGTTTATAAAAATATACTGCACTTTAAATTGACAGTAAATTTAATATTAAATGAAAAACTAAAACATTTTCTAGTAGTTAATCCTAGAAAAGCAAACTACTGTCTAAAGTATGCTATTGTTTTAGCAGATGTTAGCATAAAATATATTTTGTAACAAAAAATACGGCATATTATTGACTGCTATTGAAAACACAATTGCTTTGACTCTGTCATCAAACAAGAAGCCAATACCAGAATTATGTCAAACAAATATGTTTTTTCTTTTTGTTTCCACATTTGGCCAAAACTTTTCAATCATTTATTGTTTTTGTCTTATTTTGTTTGCTTCACTAAATACAAAACTATCAACAAATTAGTTAAAATAATAGTCTCTGCAATAGTTTTGTTGTATTTAAAATAAATTCTTTATTTTAAGAATGTATTGCTTTTGTTTTTATAATATATTCACGAAATGATACTTAAAAAACACTTAAAACTAAGACATAAACTAAATACATATACTGTCTATAAATTAGAAATAATATCACGTTATAATTTAATAAGATTTTAATATTAAATTTTAATTCAAAAATAATAAACTAAAACGAAAAAGTTTTTTTTTAATAATTTATACTTAAAAATATATATCTGTGATTTGTGCATAACCTAATTTATTAATATATAATAACTTAATTAAAATAACATAAAATATAGAAATTTTTTATATAACACATTTTACAGTGTATTACATGTAAAATAATATATACAGTATATCAATAAATTATACAATTTTAATAAATATTTTTAAAAACTATAATTAATTATATTATATTATATTTAGTATATTATATGAAAATATTTACTATAAAACAATAGCTTATAGCGTAGATTTTACTTTTTAATGAACCGACAATTTTTCAAATGAAATATTCAAATTATAAATATCTTAAGTTAAGTATTTTTATAAATATATTTTTTTATATACTGTAATATTATTTTTATATAAAGAAATGACTATTAAATATATTGTATTATTACTTTCAACTTAATTTAACTTAAGTATTAATACATTATTTAGAATATAAATAAATTTTAATTTTGTTTTTAACTATAGCTAATACAAGTTATTTCATGTATTATTTAGCAATTTAAAAGTAATTAATTTTTAATAATTACATTTATTTTGAAGGATTAGTCGACCTGTTTGTAAATCTGACATATCCTGTGATAATATATTTTGTTTATTTAATTATTTAATCATAAATTTATTTCTTACTCACAAATATTGTAACTAATATAAACTAATAAGTCAAATGTTAACCAATTGAATGAACAGATCGTTAGTTAAATAAATAAATGTCTTAAATATAATGATTTGTGTCCATTGAGACGGCAATACAGACTAATGTATAGAAAATGAGATTTTGTATAAAAATTCATAAATAGTTTATTTAATAAAGTATTTTTTAAAACTCAACTGAAACATTGTTTCCATATATAACACATTTGTCAATCTCTTTGATTATATTTCAAAAGTTTAAAAGTCAAATTTACACTTATATTTGCTTTGTTTAAAAAACATTTATATATATATATTATATATTTATAGATTTCTTATTATAATTTTTTTCCAAAAATTATCTTTATATAATAGAATTACTGTATATTTAGTATACTGTATATAAATATAAAAATCTACAGTAGTTTTCAAAAGAGTTTTAGGTATTTAGTTATTGAATGCCAAATAAACATAATTATCGATCCAATGATTGAATTCTCTATTCTATGTAAAAAGTTTTGATTTTTATGCAAATATTAGACAAAAAAAATAAGATGTCTTTCATTTGTCAATACAAATGTATGACTTTAAAGACATAGTTTGTATTTCAATCAAATCAACAAAAATGAAATCTTAAATCAGATACAAAATCCAACTGATTGTATGACAAATATATTTATTGATTATTAGTTTTGTTTATCCATACCTTACTTTGTTTATTTAATCATAATTTTCAATTTCTGTTTATATTCATAATAATAAAAWTTAAGATATAAAATAATTTTAATTTATATTTAATTTAATTGACAATTTTAAAACATACAATTAGTAAAAATATTTTCTAATTATATTTAATTAATTAATTTTACTCATATAACAATATAAATACAGTAAATAAAATGGACTGATATTAGTAACACAAGTCRTACACATTTTCTCTGTTTGTCTCCATTTTGCAAATAAAACTATTGTTACCCGAAATTAATTAAATATTAAATTTTTAAAATAAAAAATTGTTTGGACATATTGTATAGATTTAATGAAAAGTTTTATTTAATGAAAGCTTTATAAATTTATAATATTATGATAAAAATACATTATAGCATAAAAATAAAATTAGTTAAAAAATAATTAATAAAATACGCTATAAATTAATGTCGATTTAACAAAAATAATCAAAAATATTTAATTTATTACTAGTGTATTGAATAATAATTTTTTATACTCTATTAAATAGTTGTTATAATAGTTGCTTAAAAAAGTCAAATAGTTTTTAAAATAGTTATTTAAACTGTATTAAATAGTTGTATATAGTTGCTAAAAAAGCCAAATAGTTATTGAAATAGTTATTTATTTTTTTATAAATATTTCAACTGATATATATTCATTTGTTTGCAGCATATTTACAAAAATGATTTATATAAATAAACTAAGTATTTCTATTGTTAAAAAAGTAATATGAGTTGATAACAGCTTACACATTTTATATAATTTATATAATTATTACTTTTTGTTTTTACATATATTTGTACTTAATTTTACAATTTAATGCTTATATTTTTCAAAATCAATGAAATAATTATTTATAAGTTTTTATAGTTGCTAACCCAACAAATAGTTATTTATAGTTATAATAAAATTTCCGAAATAGCGTCCACTGGTCAACTTCGGTGGACATACTAAGTCCCAGTTATAAGCGTTGAACCGACAAAATAATTTTTTTAGTTGAAAATCAAGACACTATTTATTACTAAGAAAGATAGTTAAGTTTAAATGTAAATTATTTGATAAAATATATTTGAATTTCTATTATTCTAATAGTATAGTATTAATGAAAGTTCAAAAATATATTGTTTTATTTTAATAACAATACAAATGATATTTTGTAATAATAAATATAATAATTTAGTTTTTTTCTGATTTTATTATGTATTACAGATATATTGCAATTGTTTATCCACTTAAACCTCATATAACCAAACGAAATGGTAAATTAAAATTATTTTTTTCTTAAAACTCTTACTATTAATTAATTAAATATTAAATATTTATTTATAGCCGTAACTCAAATACTAATTGTATGGCTTTTGGCGATATTGGTTGCGATGCCGTGTCTTGTGTTTGGAAACACACTAACCATTACTTATGATAACAACAAATCCCGAACCATATGTCTTCTTGAATGGCCCGACGGTTTGTCCGGACAATCAAAGCTTGATTTCATGTAAAATAATTATATAAATTTAATTTAAAATAAAACAATTTGTTTAACAAAAGTGATACACTTTGTTTTCATTGCAATTTACAATAAACTTTAAGCATATTATTTAAATACATTAGATGTTAAAATTTTTGCATTATATTAAAATCTAGTAGACTATAAATTTGAAAAATTGGCTATTTTTGTAATTGATCATTTTTATATTAGATGCATAAATATTACTTAATGGAAATAACAGGATACTTTTATTCAAAATATTTAATTTATTAAAATAAATTAAAATAATTTTCAAATATTTTCAGTTTAATTTAATAAATGATATGTTTTGTATTTTTAAATAAATTAATTCTGCTAGATTTAAAGTAAATTTACATTATTATTTATTAATTAATAAAAAAATATTTTTTATTTTTATCAGTTTTGAAACAAATTTATATATTTCATTATTTCATTAATTTARTGATTATTTTATTMATAACAAAATGTATAATTTTGATAATTATACCCAAGTTATTGCAAAGCAATATATTATATGTTCATAAAATTTAGAGTATTATTTAATTTAGTTAATGTACTCCATAGAAAACTTTTATGAAATATATATATATATATATATATAGTATATATATATAGTATATATATATTTTGTATAATTTATTATATACACATTTAGAAAGTAAAAAAGTGTTATTTATTATAAATTGTTTAATTAAAACATATAATCATATTTAGTCTAATCTGCAATATATTATTTCTATATATTAAACCAGATATAACATAACCTTTTTATTGATGACATATATTGTTCCCGTGTCTACAATGGCAATCGCCTACTCATTGATGGCTCGGGTATTATGGGGTTCACAAGAGATCGGTGAGGGGGGCGCTAACTCATCGCAGCGTTTATTGATTCAATCAAAGCAAAAGGTGGTCCGTATGCTTATCTGTGGTAAGACTGGATTCAATTAATTATTTTTCTTTAATATAATCTTTTTTAAATATAAATTATAATATTTTTTTTATTTTCAAGTTGTGTCAGTATTTGCTATTTGTAAGTATATTGAATTGTTTTTATCATATTTACTATTATATTATCACATATGCAATCAACAGGTTGGCTGCCATATCACTCGTACTTCTTGCTCACCTATCAATGGCCACAACTGATAGTCACCCAATACATCCAACACATCTATTTGGCCATCTATTGGCTCGCAATGTCTAATGCTATGTATTATACTATTTAATAATAATTATTATTACACTAACTATAGTTTAAATAATATATTATTGTTTTAACTAAAGGTTTGATCCTATAATTCTGTTACTTATGAATAAAAGGTATTATTTTTTATTAAATTATACAACTTTTATATAATTTATAATTAAAATTATTTTCAAATAGATTTCGTCGATATTCTACTAATTATTTGTTACTAATTTGTGGAAATAAACGACAGATTAATTTAGATTACGGAACAAACTCTGGATTAAGAGATAAACAAACGATTAAAAGTCGAAATAAAGTCAATATAAATGTCGAAAATCTCTAATCATTACATTTTTGTTTTAGTAAAATAATTTTTATTATATAAATAATATAAGTTATATTAAAAATTAAATTGATTAATATTGTATTTATGAATAAAGTTTTGTTTAAAACTTATTACGTATTTTGAAAATAATATATATTTTTTAAATAGAAAATTTAGTGAAAATCTTTTTAAAAATTATAAATTAAAAAAAATATTATATTTGAATCTAAATTTAAACTTAAATATTAATAGATTTTATTATAAATAAAAAGTGTTACTAATTATTAAGATTTATTAATTTTAGACTTAAGTTAATTAATAACTTTTGAGTCTCATATAAAAGTAAAAAATATTATAATATAATAAAATACAACTAAACACATTTATAATTTATATTAATATACAGAATAACACACAGTATACTAAATGTATTAATATTTAGTATTTAATATAAGTGTAGTTTATATGTTATCTTATAAATAATAATGAAATATTAATAAAAAGAAATATAGTTAGAAATTTTCTATAAATCTTTTGATATTTGTTTAACACTAGAAATAACTGTACAAATTATTAATACTGATATTTATTATTAAAAGTTAATATTACAGTAATTTATTAATAAAAATAATGAAAATTCAATAAAAATTTAATAATTTTCTAGATATAATTATTTATTTTTAAATGGAAAGTTAAAATTATAGATTTATTTAATTTAACAGAGTAGTAGTGCATATAAAGAAACTTAAAATTTCTAAATTTAATAATTGTGAATGTATATTTAATTTTATAAAATATTAAAACTAAAAAATTATTCAAGTTTTATACTATAGTTCACATTTGACATTAATTATAAGTATTAATAATACATAATAAGACTGATTTGATTTAATTCATTGATATCATATACAATTATTGTACGATTAAATAAGTTATATTGAAAATATTAACTTATACTACAAAAGTTTAATTTTAATTTAATTTTAAGTAAGCCATAACCAGACTAACTTAACGTTTGTATATTATTTTATTTATTTATAGTAATATTATACTGTATTAGTAGGCAATTAATTCAATTTAGTATTTTAATTTATAACTATTTTTACATAGAATTTAAAATTTTATAATTACAAATAAAAACAAATAATAATAATATTTGCTGTAAATGTGTTAATTAATTAAAGTGTATTGTATAAATAAATTTTCAAATTAAAAATAATACATATATAGATACAATAAAAATATAATATAATGAAAAATAAATTGATGAATTAAATTTAAGTTAAAACGTTAATCTGTTTCATATTAATAGTTGTAATTATAATTATAAACATGAAATTATTATCAGTTATTACAAATTGTATCATCAAATATCACATAATACGACAATTGATTATTTCTAATATGGGATAAATATGATTACATTTAACAAATGATCAGTTGTTTAAGTGACATGAGATTCACAAATATGTGTTACAATGGATTTTACATTCATTAATGTAATTAATATAATTATAATGATATAATATAAATTTTTATATCAACTTATATATAACAATCTGTAAATAAAATGTAATAATTATTTAACACAATGTATTGTAAAATTTATATTATTTATATATTAATACAGATATAATCGGTTAATCAATTATGTATTGATTACCAAACGCTACACTTGGCTTTGGGATTCATGGGTGACCCGAGAGGACAGTTGAATGTTTGTGCAAACTCTGGGACATTAGAGACGGGACCGACCACTCGGAACTGTGCCGGACTGTGTGAGCCCACCTGAACACGTAGTTTCAATACTTCGGGTCTGTATTTGCCGCACCACACGTTGGCCGCACTGATCCAAAACAATTGGTGCGGTGTATACTTGAGTCCGGGCAGTGATTTTTCGGGACCGTGATCTTTGACATATTCCTGATAAGCCTTTAATAATCAATGAATTTGTTTTAATTATTTTATTACAAATTTCCACACAATTAACTTATACTGTATTTGAATACATACTCTAAACGCCTCTTTAATACCTCCGTTGTCCGCAATATTTTCTCCCTGAGTATTGACTCCATTAATCTGTTTTATTGTTATCAAAACATAAACTTTATTACAATTATTGTATTAAATTAAAATAATTAAATTTAATAGCATTTCTTATGCTTTAATAATAATAAATTGCTGTTTTTCTTGATTGCAATTATTATAAAGTAGTTCATTGTCTTATATGGCAATTATATAATAAATGCCATATAATAATTTAATACAAATTTCCGTATCATTTAACAACTATCTAATTTTGGTACAAAAATATTTTAGCGACTAAAGTAATTAAATTTAATTCATGTTATTATTTTATATTCAGTACATAAAACAGGTTAATATTAAAATTAAATGTAATTCATAATTAACCATGTGGAATTTTATTGAAAAAACAAATAAAAACTTATTACTAACAAAATTAGTTTTACAGATTTGATTTAAACCGATAATATAAATAAACCAAATTATTAGACAAACCTGTAGATTATTTTCAGGGACAGTATAGTTGCTGTACTGATCGATAATACATTGGGTCCTATCTTTGAAATTACTATCGGTTTGCGAGTCCCACCAGTTCTTGTTATTGCCGTCTTTATCAAACTGACGGCCTGTATTCACAATAGTTTCATAACTTTAGAAAACAATTAAATATAAAAATAAATTAATAATCTCTTACCTCTATCATCAAAACCATGAGTTATCTAATTAGTTAAAAATTTTAATTATAATAAAATTACAACAGTTTTTTTAAAATTTAATCAAACCTCATGTCCAATCACAAATCCAATTCCACCAAAATTTAAATAACTATAATAATAATAATTTGTTTGTTTGTTAAAAATATAATATAATGTTAAGTTTTATTTAAAATATAAAATACTTAGGTTTATCTCTGCTGAAAAATGACCCTTGTAATATTCCTGCCGGAAACTCTATGCTATTTTCCAGTGCATTATAATATGCATTTACAACTAAATATAAATAAATATTATTTAATATATAAAGAAATATTTAATTTRAATAATAAAACATTTTGATTAATAATAAGTGATAACACCATACCTGCGGCTCTGGCGTGTTTCCTCCAACTTTCAATAAAAGTAAAATTTTATTTATAATTAAAATTAAATTTACCAAAAAAAAAAACATATTATAATATTATACATACTCTCCCTTTAAATTAGGTTTTCTTAATTGATTGAATGCATAGTCAGTAGACCAGCGACGAAGGTTTTGTACATTTTTAAAATAATTATTTGGTTGTAATTCCAACTATTTTTTATAAATATACAAATATTTTATTATTATATTTTAATTAAAATATTTTTTTTTCAATTAAAAGTATATTAATTTTTACATTTTTATATAAGTCTGCAATCTTTTCATTGTCCATCAGTTCATCCGGATATCCAATATATGATGTAATAGCCATTGCTTTATCTTTGGCTTTTTGTAATCAAAAGAAAACAAGTGTTATTTCATAAGTACAGACAAAACAAGTAATATATATATATATAATAAGAATAATACTAATAATAAAAATAATAATAATAAACCTCTTTGTCGTGTTTGTTGGTCCATCCACTCGACTTTGTCTAAAATCTTGAGAAACTCCTTATGAATGTAGTTAACCATATCTAATGCCTAATTAATGAGATTTTTTTTTTGATTAATTTTAATATTCAAGCTTTGAATTTTAAAATATAAAATAGTAATCTTAGTAATACTTACCACATGTTTGCTGTCGCCTTTGAAATTTTGTCTGACATACAGTGATGACAATGCTATACCTAAACTACCGGTCAATGAGGACATGCATTGTTCCCAACGGGGCTCTTCCCGGGCCTGACCAGTGATTACTGTATTGTATTCCTGAGCCAATTCTCTCCATTTTTTGCCCAAAGTTGCAAAAGACTGGAGAACTACTCTCCATAGCATATAATTGGCTAATACTCTGTTATGAAAATATTTCAAAACCAATAATGGTTAAAACAACCATGGTTAATTTTTAAATAATTATAATTATCATCTATAATATCAATATACCGTTTATTTGTTTGTGCGATAAGTGTGTCGACATTACGTATAAAATTGGGAACATTTACTATAATCTCTTCCTTATCAGTAACCGAATCACTCAATAAATTATTGAAGTATTTACTCCATTCAGTCTGTATTATAAACATTTTAATTCAAAATTATTTACATATATTTTTCATTTTCACTTTTCTTAAAATTGTTTTTTTTTATCAAAATGTAATCATTTTTATAAACAAAATAAATATAGTTATGTTTAAAATATTGATTAACATATTTTAATAATTTTACAAAATATAATATTAAAAAATTGCTTTCAAAATTTTGATTAATAATAAGTCAAATATATAGCAAACATACTGTACTTATGATTAATAAAATTTATTACTTATGAATTGTAACTTAATTATTATTTAATATTTAACTAGTGTTTTTATAAAAACATTTTTAAAAATTTGTTTAATCACATTTTAACCTAAACTACATGTATAATATTCAAATGATTAAAATAAAAAAAGTTATTATAATCTAAATATAATAAAATATTAGTTTGTTTGATATATTTGGGGCTAATATAGTCATACCTTTGGTGCTAATTGTGCCACTTTTGTCAAATTCATTTTGTTGTACAACAAACTTATGTTACGCCTCTCCTCCCGCGGCAATGAATACTATAAGATAAGTCATAGAAACATAGAAAATAAAATAAAATAAAAATAAACTTTTTTTTTAAGTTTTGAAATATTGTTGAAGAGAAACATTAAGATGAAATGATGGGTTAAAACAAAATTGAAGTCATAATTAACGTTAAATGACTAACATTTGCCAAAACTGTTTCAAAATTTAATGTCTCCAACATTTCTTCTTCAGCTGAACTCCTATTTGCACCCAAAATAACGGCGCTCTCAACCATCAGCTTATAATATCCGGCGACTGCCGTGTCATTCAATCCGCGCAACAAATAGCTTCTGTCGGGCATTCCTAACGACGCCTGATCTAACTGTCCCATCAATTAAATATATGTTATTAATAAATCATATTTTTTAGTTTATAAATATATTGATAATTACATCAATTATGTGTTGAGTGTTGTTTCTGAAATCAGGTGTCACCGATAGATCCATGAGTACGTCGTGACTAAAACCCAGTTTTCTAAACTCAATCAACATCTGTAACCAATCAAACTGGTCTTCTTTCCAGTCCTTACCGACCAATACGGGCCAACCGCCCAAACTGTTTAGTATTGACAGTAATGGAGTATTTCCCACTTTTTCAATGTCGGCTACAATTTTGATTATTATATCATAATTTAAAGCAAAAAAATTACAAAAATAAAACAATTGTAAAAATAAATAAAATAGATTTATCGTTAAAACAATTTTAAGCAATAAAATATGAAAAAATATCATAAATTAAAAAGAAGTTTTCATCAATAATTATAACGAGTTAGTGGAAAACGTCAACAACAAAAAAGTCATAAATTGTTACTATTTTTATTTATTTATTACTTTTTTGAAAAAATGTTCTAAATTTACCATGATCAAATATTATTATAATTGTATGCAAAATGTAAATCTATATTTACCTAAATTCATACATGACTTATACATATTTCGGATTTTTGTAAAAAAGTTGGGCTCATTATCTTCGGCCGGCAATTCAACCAAAACTATATTTTAATATAATATTATTATTTTTATTATCAAATTGATATAAAACTCATAAATAGAATATTTAGACAATTATATGATATTTTTATTACATTACCTCTAAGTTTATTATTGAGTTCGTCCTGAAGTAATGAAAATACAGAGACCGATGTCTTGTCATCGGGAATGACCTGATTGTCGACCCAACCACCGCATGCAAACTGACAGATATTGTATATAAAAAACAAACAAAAAAAACAAAACATAAGTATAATTCATAAATGACTTTTACAAGTGTTTTCCTGTAAACTAAATTTTGAAACAACAAAAACCCACTTACTTTGTAAAAGTCATCGCACGGCGAGACCTTTTCATTGATGTTTTTGATTAATTCTGCGGCTAATTAGCCATAAAAATACATACAATTTAAAAAAAGTCACTAAATATAAAATAAATACAAAATTTGTGAGCAATGGATGAAAAAAATACCTGCTTTGACACAACCGGGTGTCAGACAGACATCGTTATCGTTAATATTTTGTATTGAATTAGCGCTCAATTGAATGGCTTCACTATCTTTGACTAGTTGTTCGGCCGTCGGCCTCAAACTCGATGACCCGCGCGATCCTGTTTTGACACAAAAATATTTTTTTTTTCAAAATTTAACTCAATTTAATTCAAAATATCATTTTTCAAAATGCTATAAATTTTTTATGTTTGATAATTATGCATATTATGCTTATATACAGTATATATTTAAATTAAAAAACAATAAAACAAAATTTATTTACTAAAAAATACAAATTGAATTCTATAGTATTAAACATTAATAATTTTTTAAAATGTTTATTTAAATAATTTATCGATTATCGCAAAAAATACTTACTTTATTTCATGCAATAAATTATATAATTTAAATCAAAAGAATTTCAACTTTTATAATTAATAAACTCAAAAAAACAAAAATATTAGTGTAAATATATTTTATAATTTAAATGCAATAATGTATGTGTAAAAATGTCAGTTATATAATAAAATATTTTATTCATATTATAATGTATATTAACAGTTTGTAATTGTAATTATCTAAACAAATACACTAAAAATGTGAGTTATTTAAAATATAAATTATAATAATTTACAAAATATATTAATTTCTTATAAAAAATGTATATTATTTATATTTTTTATTTATACTTCTATTATATAATTTGCATTTACGTTGATAATGTGATTAATGATTATTAAAACATTAGCTCAAATTCTTGCGATAAAATTTTTTGATAACAGTTTTTTTAATGTAAAACACTTATATATTAAAACTGTCAAAACGTTACAATTAATGATAGATTACACAAATTACTTAAGACTTAACTTATATCTCACTTATCCTATAATGAAATACCGCTATAAAGAGTACAATGAAAGACAACAAACCTAATTGGCTTTGATAGTGATATCCGATGAAAGCCAATGCAAAAGTCATGGCAATACACATGACTAGGGCTATGACAGCAATGGCACAAAGGGATCGCTCCATCCTTGTCCTCCTATTCCACCAGGGTGGGTTCCTTCAAATATATAYATTATATACATTATATACATGGTCAATTGGTCTAATTTTACATAATTATTGACACAAATAATATTATTAAAACGAGTAGACATTGTATAATAAATGTATCTAACTTTGAATTGTCAACCATAATAAATATCGTCGACTCTTTACTTAGAGTCTCTCTCAACAACTGTTTTTGCATTTTTGATGTTTTCATTATTTATAATTTAAAATAATAATAATAATAGTAATAATTATAAACAATAATATAAACAAATTATTCAATTTTGATTGACACTTCACATATTAATTTTTATTTTTAGAATAAATCACAGGTAAAAGTAATTTTTTAAAACTTGCACTAAAAAATTCTAAAGTAAAAGTATTCTTAGATCTAAAAAATCAATTTAAAAATAATTAATTGTAATAAATTGTAATAAATTTTTACAATCACTTGAATTGAAAGCAGGTTTTCATAAGATGCACTCATCAAATATCAAATTAAAACTTTGTTTTTCTTATATTTACAAAAATATTTCTATTAATAAGTGGTCCATAAAGCGCTGATTTGGCACAAATGGCAAATGAAAAAAAACAATTTTCAAGTGATGGCTACATATCCGATACAAATTGCTTTTATATATTATATTTAAAAAGTACTAAAATATAAAGAAAATTATTAGATTTTATATTTTTACAAAATTGAGTTTTCAGTAAATGTTTTATTTTATTGCAATATATATGCAATAAATTATTTTATTATATTTTCTTTACAATATTTTCGTAACACAAAAACTATATGATGTGCAAAATTTACATTACATGAAACAAAAAAAAATGATAAGTTATTAGAAATATCAAAATTATCAATTGGTTTCAAAATATATAAAAACTATTTTCAGTATTGGTGATTGTAATTAACATAATAATTTTTAAATTATATTTTTATTAATTTTTTTTACTAAACTTAAAGTTATAGTTTTCACCGATATCATTAGCAATTTATTAAAAATAAATTTAAAAGTTCACTTTTTACAGTTTATCATAGTGCTGAATATAAGCAAAATATTGTACAACATATGATTTAAAACTATAAAATACAGACACATTTAAAAAATATTCAATTTATATACTGTATATATAATCACATAAAAAATAAAAACATAAAAAAATATTTAATATATCAATTTATATAGTATATACACTATTTGTTTACTTATTGCACAAAATCAATAATTCATATAAAATCATATATCAGTATTAAAAAAATAAAATAAAATATCGATATAATACTATAAGGCAAACACATAAAAATCAGTAAACTTTTTAATACAACGAATCTGTTTTTAGTTTCAATATTGAGTAATGTATTAGTAATATAAATGCAATAATCAGAAAACGAAAACAAATTAATTTTTCAATGTATAACTGTTTGAAGATTTTATACCCAATTTAGTTTAAATAAACATAAATAAAAATTTGTGAAACTCTATATTACTACTGCAAATGATCTTACAATCGGTCTTAATTTGCTATCATATCAGTAGTCATAGAAATTATATTAAATAATAATAATAATAATAATGCAATTATGTAATTCATAAGATTAGACCATACCATACAACACATGTGAATAAATACAGAGATAAGAAATCTATAATATTATTTAGATAATTAAAATTGTATAATTGTTATTTATTATATAAATAATAAAAAACTAAATAATATTAATATCATAATAAATGATATAATTAATTAAAATTTTTATAGTTGTCAGTCTAAATTAGTTGTAAAAGTATTCATATCAGTAAATAAATAAACGAAATTGATATAAATTGTCTAAAAAATGCCAGTAAATAGTTTTTTTATTATTATTTTTATAATAATAATCTAAATTTATATACAAATACTTACCACCAAAGATATGTCTTCTTTATCGGTCGCAAATTATTTGATGTCTTTTTGCCGTTTTGTGTCAGTGGTATTAAACTAACCACCGATGGCGGGGCACTCACTGGACTGGTCGACATTGTCTGAGACATTTCAATTTGATTGATAGTCATTGTTGTTGAGATTCAAATCAGATATAATTCAACAAAATTTTTTGTTTTATGTATTCATAAATCTTATAATATTAATATTTAGCGTTAATTCAGTTTTAATATATAAGTTTTTTTCAATTATTTTGTGAATATTAAAAAAACAAATTCTATCCACTTTTGAATCTTATAGGGAAAACACCTTTGAATGAAAGGGTTAATAGAAAGTGATTTCCAATTAAATGAATGTCAGATAAATCATGTATTATATCTATATGTAAGTCATAACAGATATTTTTATCACAATAGGAGACCCATTGTTGACGGCATTTACTATAGATATCACACAATTTCGGACTATTTATTGAAACTGTGACTAACTTTGTTGAATCAAAACAACAACTCGTTGTATACATGATTTGTGGTCACAAACGTTATTGCATTTCAAAGAGGAGGTGACCCACAAAATAGTTGATTAGTCCATCACAAGAGACAACCACTCGAGCACTAAGAGATTATGATTGAAACAAATCATAATATGAACAGAGAGTGAGTTAGTGAGTAAAAGATAAGGAGAGGGAGAGAGAGAGATTTGATGCACATTTTTATAACTAATAATAATAGATATATAATAAATTATATTAAATTTGTTGAGTCTGTCACATACGTTAAACTGAAGTAATAATACTTAAGAGAGAAGTTAGAAAAGTTCATACCTTATCTAATTGTTCTCAAAAAAGTAATAAAAAAATGACATATAATAAAAGTGGACAATAACTTAGAAATATATTAATCACATATTATTGATAAAGAAAGTGAAGTGAAATATCAAACATGAGATTAGTTAACAAACATTTATTGGGTTTTGAGTTCAAACTTTTTGCACATTTAAAGCTTAACTATAAATAAAACAAAACAATTGAATCAAAACGAAAGAGGAATTAAATAGTTTGCTGGGATTTGTGTCAATTAAATGTCGTACAAATATTGTGGTGTCGATCCCACTATATATTAAATACATGTATTAGGCTTTTAAGTAAAGTTAATAATCAGAGAAAAGCCTATAAGGAATTAAAACAAGTAAATCATTCAATGATTTAACGTTTAGTTTGTGGACTAAAAAAGTTGTCAAAAGTATATATATATGTATGAGTAGTAAAAACTTTGACTGTTGTCGGATAAACTGTATTTTCACGCTATATATACCTAATAAACGACTTTTACATTACACTAACTTTTTTGTCGCACACAAATCGTCATCAAATTTTCTTCCCAATGGTTTGCTATATATCAATAATTGTTGCAAAACTTCAAAATTACAACAAATTTTTGTTACATTTTTAAATTTTTCATTATAAATAAAATAAAAGCTACAATATATTTAAATTAAGTAAAAAGAGTAATTGTATAGATTTTTAATGAATTTAATGGCAACGAATAAATTGCTTATTATTTGTCAGTAAATGTTGTGTTATTTGATTTTAAATCGTTTGCACAGTTGTATAGAGAGTTGTGTTGCAAACAGAGAGACACATCACTGTATAAATAGCTTATATTATTGAGTACTGGATTTAATAGTTGAGTTCAACCATAAGCCACACAACACTTTACATGCAAACAGAGCTCTCTATTAGTATACAGAATATGACCAGAATTTTGCTAATATTAGAGTTTGTATTCAAATTAATCAATTATATCAAACAAATTGTACAAATATAAAGCCCGGGGCTATAATTAGACTAAATTTAAATTATATTTTCTCATTTTGATTCATTATGAATAATAATTTTCTTTATAATTAAAACAATGTTTTAAAAGTATTATTTTAAAAATAAAATTTGCAGTTTTAGGTAAATCTGACTTAATATAAAAATATAATTTTTAATAGATAATAAAAAATATTATACATTAATTAACATTATAAATCAAACAAAATAATTTTTAAAAATATTTATTATAATTTCAATTTACATTTTTATAATTTGCATTTAATTTGTATGCAAAATGACAAATTATTGTTAATATTTTATTATATGTAAATTAATAAATGCTTATAAGTATACTATCAATTTAATAAAATTTTAGTAAATTTGCATATGCTAATTATTATTAATATTATAAATTTAAAAATTACTTGAAAGTATTTATGATTTATTCATGTTAGTAAATTCAATTAAAAATATTAATTATGTCTTATGTCAAATAAATAAACACACATTTAAGACTGAATTTTTATATATTGATAATAAAAAACTAACCATTGTTTAACACTATCTAATTATAAGCTATTATAATTTATAGCTATTTAATAAATGAATAAGTTTAGATTGATATTACTCATTATATTTTTTCAGATAAAGTTACAGATATTTAGTCTTTTTTCAAATGATTATAAAAACAATAAATATCTGCAGAGAATATAATAAAAGCAATAGATATTTTTTGAAATTAAATTTGAAATAATTGTTGTAAAATAACCAAAATTTTATATAAAAATTTAAATATAGATCTAAATTAATAATAAATATCAATTAAACAAAAGTCTTTACATAAGAAGTTTTGCATAAATGATGTTAAATATTATATAAGAAATAATTACTAAACTTAATTTAATCATCCAATATATAAATTCTTATGAAAATCATATTTAGATGATATTTTTAGATATAAACAAAATAATGAACAGTATATGTATAGATACAGTAAATCTAAAACAATATTTGTATATTTAAGTCATTAAAAAAGTAATTATCCTAATAATAAATTATCATTCAAATTCTCTTTTTATAATTATATAAAATTGTTATTTTATCTTATATTAATGTCATATTGAGTTTATAAAATATTTTCAGTACAATAATTTGAAATAACTTTTGCAATTTTATTAATATACAGTATTTAAAAAAATTGTAAAATTATAAAAATCAATATTTATAAAAATCAATTATTTAAATAATATTAATTACTAAATTAC